AAGACTCACAACGCGATGCCATCACGGTAGAAGGTTCAAAGGTTCTGTACCGACTGACGCGGACACTGTGGGGACAATGGCATGTTTTGAAATACTGCAAAAGAAGTTTGAATAGAGTTGAAGATGTTTGAAGCCTTTGTGAATGAAATCTCAAATGTTCACGGGTTTGCTGTTTGTTTTGTTGGAAACTTTTTCATTTCCACAAAAGCTCAACCTCAACTGTTTTAGACAGTAAATATTTACTCGTTAATGCGTCACAGTATTTCTAAAAAACAATAAAAACACATCACATGACATTAATAAAAGTTATTGAGGCAATGGTTTGGGTTGTCGTGTCCAATGATTCCTTTAAGTGTGTGTGAAACAGGTAAGTAAAAATCCCACACCTGACATTGTGACATTCCCTACAGCTGGAAACAACATATTTATAAGTCTAACATCTGTGTGGTTCTAAAACCAACAAGTCGGTGAAAACATCCTTAACATCAGCATCTTCAAAATAACTCAACACGGGCACCGGCCTCCCGGGTGAAAGTCCTGGGTTTATTTGCAATTAACGTTTTGTAGCATCGACCCTTTCTCTCTTGATTCCTGGCAAAGTTCAGCGGCGCTGTGGTCGTGGCAGCTCTACTATTAATGTTTTCTCATTTTGCCGGGTCCTGTCCTCTGGGGGAGGCGGGGTAGTTGATGTCGAGGCGCGTGTCCCTGTAACCGCGCACGTGGTTAAAACGTTAGACATCAAATCTTTTGCCTCAAAACCATCCGTCACATTTGTCATCTGCAGGAGTGAAACCAACTCCTCCCTCCTCATACTGTATCATTTGTTAAAGAGGACTCAGCTGAGAGGAATACGCTTAACCCTGTCAAGAAGCGGCGAAGTGCATTTTCCATTTTCCTCCCCAAATCTGAGTGGTGGTAAAGTGTTTGTATTGTTTCCCCAGTGATCTGTTGTGATATGCTCTCACAGCAATAGAGAGGCTAATGGAACAGGCGGAACCCTTGAAGCTCAGAAAGGTATAGAGTGTAGAATAATTAGGGTCTCTAATGAGAAAACTCTTCGGCAGAAGGAAAAAAATTAAAGTGACGATGGTATCGTGAAAATCCGCGTTGAAAATGGCAGAGAAACCCAACAGAGACGACATGTAGCTCCAAATAGGGGAGAAACAATTAAACTTAATGAACATGAAACGCTGGTTTTCAGTTCGCTCTGCTGCAGAAAGTGATAAATGATGGATTTCAAGAAAGAAAGGCGAGGAAAGAGAATCTTGTGGAACTAAAAAGGATATCAATTGCCTCCTTATTTAACTCTGAGGAATTTCTTATGAGCAAAAAAGCTTAAATATTCTTTATTAAAGACCTTTTTTCTTTGACCTGTCAAGGAAGTTCTTTAACGGTCACATTCTGTGCCCCTCTAATAAAAGCAGCCATTGCAAACCCAGAAGCTACTATTTAAATCACTGAAAAACTCACGGGTATGCCAACTACGGCTATCTAGCGTTTCTATGGCAACAGCTGCAAGAACGGTAACAATCATGGCTGCGGTTTTAACCTACTTTAGGATGAGATGTGATGTGTATTTGGCTTGCAGTCGAGCATTAAAGGGGCTTTGGCATCGCCTGCAAAGTGTCAGTGGTTTTATAGTTTGGTGACCCTTGACATGTGACATCAGCGTAAGCACCCTCAAGAATTAACTGGTCAGAAGGAGTCAAATTCACCATCACTCTTCCAAATCTATGTGCCAACGCACACGTTGGAGTCCACTCTCATTTTTTTTTTTTTTTTGTCTCCAGGGAGGTTCAACACAGCTTCAAACTGCGTGAATTCTGTTTTATCGCTGAAAATAATACGCTTCCCCCCGAACCCAGATTTTCTGTTACTCAACGACTTTAATAACTCCTCCAAGACATGAAAAAAAACATGAAAACACTACGTATTCAATTTTCTAAGGATAAAACAATCTCACAAGGCAACCGTTTCGCCTCCTGTTCCATTTCGTTGGGGCACGCTGATCTCTCCGCTGACAATTGATCAAAATAAATTTAAAAAAGATGACATGAAATAGATTTCTGTATAGAACCAAGTCATGTCCCTCCAGTGAAGGCTTCTTTTCATCCACGCTTTCTGTAACCGCTGTAGTCAAACCATCGCTTCCTGTGTGCAGGTCTTTGGTGTTTCTTCATGTTGTTAATTAAGCCTCTTTTCAGAGAGATTGAAATAGAAATCCAGCCTGGCAGCTTTAATTCTGCTGTCTGGGTTTATAAAAGACTTGCAGAAGACAGCAGCTATGTTTAGTTATTACATTATAAATAACTGCTGCATGTACTGCGGTTGTTACAGCAAAAACAATATCAGATCATTGTACTTTCTTTAGATTACGTTTTGACTTAATTGTGGACTGTATGGAGGAGGATTAAACCCTCCCTGTTAATTGTATGACTGTTAATCATAATTTAGCAACCTTAACAATGGCAAGCATTTGAAGTTGTATTATTTTTTAGACTTTATTGCAGTTTCTGGCTTTCTGTCTTGTCCCTGGCTGCATTTGTTTGCCGTTGTCTTGATTGTTCCCCTTTGTTTGACTGCATGGTTTGACCGTGTGTCCCGTGTCTGTCTCTGTGCTACCAACTGTTTGAAAAATGACCAAGAATTGAGAGTTGTACATATATGTACCACTTTTTTTTAGTTCTCTTGAAGACACCAGCCTCAATGTGAACATCTGGCTAGTTTAAGAGTAGGAAACTAGCTGTGTGTTTGCTGCACTCGTACAGTGTTTTGCCAACAAACAGTAAATACGCCTCACATGAAAATAAGTGTATTTATATTAAGTGGAATATATTTGTTTGTTTGATCCTCTTGAATTTGGCACTGGATCATTTTTCACTGCATCCTTTTGTTGTTTTTTACCGACAGGCTGGATGTGTCATTATTGAATTCTACTAAATTGTTGTATTGTATCCTCAACATGAAGCGGTTAATCCTTCCACCTAATCCAAGCACAGCATTCGTGTCCCTGCGAGTCCTTTTCTGCTTAATGAATGTGCAACTTTCTTGACCTTTTATGAGCTTTTCGTTCGCGATACGAAGGTCCTGGGTCGTCTTCAGCATCTGAGTCAATAATGTCGCCATGTATGTTGGTGGAAATGGTTGTAGCACATTTGTATTCCACCGGCAGCAGCTCTTAATCACTAAATCACAGAAGCTATCAAGGCTGAACACCTCGTGCTGATTGCCTCCAGGCCGAGATGAATCCACTTTCCCAGGGTCTTCCTACCACATACTCATATCAATTACCTACAGTGTTGTTTCTCACCATCTGCAATCATCAGAATTTTCATTATTAGATTAAACAAGATGAAATTACTAAATTAAACCAGATTAAAGAGACAATAAAAGAAAACTTATGGTAATATTGCATTGATCTGGAATAGAAGAGAAAATAAGAGTGGATTACAGCATTTTTTCCTTAAATAGTATCTACCAAGGGTCTCGTTGTGTGAGGATTGCCAGTTCCACTCTAATGTTAACATTAAGTCTGTTTATGACACTACATTTGGACTAAATGTGCAACTGATCTATGATCTGATGCAATCCGTATACGCAAAGCGCATAGCAACATTTTAAAGAAGGCTTGATGCAAGACTCGTGCCATCATTATGAAACACCCACGGCTTTCCACCTGTCTCCTTCGTCGACCATGCATCAGACTAATTCCTAGAAGAAGAGAATGAGTATTACTCAATCAGAGGCAGAGTGGGCGGGTCTTTCCGTAGTACCATTAATAACAGACCCTTTACCTGCCGATGCCTGGGCAAGGTCATTTTACATGCGATGAACCATTTCTTTTTACGTCCTTTACTCCACGATTCCTAAATCTCACGACAAAGTCAATCAATTTGTACGCAATTACCTTTTTCTGTTTTATGCTTTTAAAGAAAGTCCACCTGCACAGTTTAAATGGAAACAAACTATTTACTGCAATAATGTTGGCTTCAGGCCATCTGTATCACACAAAGGAAGGGACACTTTGTAGGGACATTGTAAGGAGACAGACACATTTTTTCATGTGCTCTTCCTTTTTGTTGACACAATATGCCAATGAACTGCAACTTTCCTATAATAATAATGGCATCTTTTTTTTTTGCAGATGATGACATTGATTAAACAACTAACAATGTTTGGGTAGAAATAACATTTTGCTATGATTGCATGGAACAGTAGTTTAGTCTTCCTAAGCCAACAAAGTTGATTGTCCTGTTTAACGGTAGAATTTCACATTAAAATAACATTTCTATACTTATTGATTAGGGACATAGATGACTTGTACAAATGTATTTCTTAAAGAAAGGCCTTGAGTGTATTTTAGTTCTGAGTCCACAGCGGGGAGGACCACAAGGTCATTGTACATGAAACAGACGATTCACTCAAACGCAACAACGATCACTACAAAAGTGATCCGCATGGAACCCTTCAACAACCACCGATTCATGAAATGAATTCACCTCATGCTGGAAAATGCTGCAAGTATGGATTTCTACACTAAAAACATGCATTCGGCTACGTACCAGTGTGGCATGCAACCCGCCCCAGCACATGAATCCCACAGAGAAGAAGCGCACCACACACAGAATATTTTATGGCGGGATCCAACGAGACCCCACGGGTTTGCCGTATGTGAAATGTGCACGGTGTGTTCCTCGCATTGAAAAACAAACTGTGAGAAAAGGGAGAGGCATTCTCTTTTGTGCAGGAAGCCGCTCCGACCGCTCATTTCGGCAGCGCCCGGGGATTTCAGCGCTCGCTGGTCAAACGCGTGGGGAGTTGTTACTGAGTATTGATGGTGGAGGAGAAAATGAGGAGAAAATGAGGCGACCCGAGACGGACGAGATAGCCAGCACCTCTCCGTCTCCCCCCTGCAAATTAGAATGTGACGTGACTTGATTATGCGGACAGTCTGCTGCGACAGCTGTGTGTCTGCAGCTCCCAGCCGTTGTGTTTCTCACCTGCTAATGAGGAGGACGGTGAACAGGGTCCCTCCAGATACAGAGAGAGCCATGGCTGCCGACGGAGTGGAGACGCCAGGTGGAGTTTATCTGCCATAAAAGAAGAAAAAAAAAAGCACACAGCGACGTAAGTGACGGTGGTAGTTTCAGGAAATAGGGACTTTGCTGTTTGCCATAAACAAGATGGTTTGACGCGTCTCAGCATGGGTGTAAGATAGTATCAGTGACCAAAATCGTCCCCGTTTCAACCTGAATCAGCTGGCACACATCACAGATGGCCTGTGGCCCTCTTTCTCGTCTTCCATCTCTACAGTACCGCAAATGTAGCTGTTGTCAGTCTCCTTGTTTGATTGTCCGAGCTAGAGGACTGAGGAGCCCGAGGGCCGTTCTCTCAACGGCACAATGACGTCTCCTGCCCGGCACTGCCAGCTGCAAAAGGAATAAAGCGCTTGGCATTTCCTTCAAAGAGTCACCGTCTGTCCAATATCTCTATGCTCTCTCTCCTCCTGTCTCTCTCTCTCTCTCTCTCTCTTTCCCTCTTCCCCCCTTTTTAGATGAAAGTGGAAAGAAACCTTCAGAGACCAGAATGAGACCTGACTAATGTGCACGGTAGGCTGGGCCGACAAAATATTTAATGTGCAGTTGAAAGCGAACTTCTGGGGCCGCGGCGTTAAAAGTGACTTTAAAGCGGTCGAGGTTTGAACTACATAAGACCTGTTGGTGGCCGCGGTGGCTCTTTGGTTACATAATACACAGTGTGTGGTTCTAAGACATGGTTTTATCACTGACAATGGCCTCATACCCCATGCCTGTAGAGGGTTATGTAATCTTAGTGTAGTCTAAGCTGCTCGTGACAGATGCAAACCACAGCAGCAAAACGTAACGTGTTGTTTTGTTCTTTTCAGCTCTGCAGCAGAGCTACATTTCCCTGATGTTAATTGTGAGCGCTGCGGCTTTGCACACAGCTACAATTAAGACTTCTACTGAGCAACTTTGTGTCTGTGCCTTTGCTGTCCAATGGACTGAAGTTAATAATGTGGGCGTCCCTGAAGAGGTGCGGGACGTTTTCAAATGCTAAATATAAGCAGTGCATTATATAACACTTATTATATAATATAATATCAGCAGCTAACTTCATTGGACACAATGCATGCAATCTAACATTCATTGGAATTACCCATTTACAATCTATCGTGCAAATACATCTAATCCAACCTTTCGTCCTTGGATCTATTTGGTATATACAGTACGTATCCTTTAGAGAGGTAGATAGATATTTAACACATAACCAGCAAACAACAGGCGCTAAAACTAAGAAATTAACAAAAAACATGAGTTGAGCATTTGGGTAGAATTTATTCAGTTTATTTTTATTTTTATGCACACCTGGTGTGTGTGTGTGTTAGTCCGGATGAGTGGGCGTAATGAGTAATAAGCCCTTATCAACATCACGTGAAAGCATTCAAACTCTTATCAAATTCACAGCTGCTGCTGAAGCGATATTTCTTCAATGCTGTAGCAAGAAAAAAAGGAGGTCAATCACCATATTTCTACTCGCTGACCTGCCAATCACTCAACACGGAGACAATGAGTATGCTCCACTTACACCCAGTGTGCACCAGGTCTGAGTAATATAATCTCAATGAAGGATGTCAAAACCCGGATATAAATATGTCACTTTTAGACCAACGCAATGGAGACATTATGAACTCAAACAAGGAGAATGAGTGGCGAGGTATTTTAAGCAATACAACATGTTTATACCAAATACATTCAAATGTGTTCATTATACCAATAATAAATAAATGTGCTGATGTCTATGTTAATATTTCATTAGATGCATTCATCTTCACCAGCATGCTTGGATCCCAAATGCAGACGGCCAATCTAATGATTATGAATGCAGCCTGGTGAAGCATTAAGGGACTCAATGACGCCCACTCCGCTAGAGGCCTTTCATGGAGCATTACAGCACATTACCTGGCAACCCTCACTGCGGATTATCTCCTGCATACTGGTCACACTTTTAAATAGAATATTGTGATGAATATTGTAAATTGAAACAAAACAAAACAATTCAATTCAAGACATTGACTGCCTTGTAGAATTTTATTTTGTAAGAAGGAAAGAGGATAGTAGTATCAAAGATTCCTAGTCCAATACGGCAGTATGAGATTAAAAATACAAGCCGACAGATAGATGTGAACAGTACTCAATGCGGATTATTCTGATCTGCTGCCAGAGGCTTGCTTTTCGCCGTGGAAAGCAAACTGTAAAACGACATTTTGCATGCTCCAGTGCATAGATGGCATAATTTTCCCATTGCAAATTGATCAAAATTGACTTCAACTCCAGGGCATATTATGGACAAACTTGAGTTGTAACCAGCTACAAGCCTGGACTCTATGTCCAGAATGTACAACTCAATTAGAAGACAAAAATAACGTAACGTTTCCCATCAAAACTCCTCTTTGTCAGGACCGGATAAAAATGAGGACTCAGATGCAGAGGGTTTGGCGTCTTTAATCGCGTCGTGAAAAAACAAACAAACGGCTATGAGCTATCAGTGTTTCCGACGAAAGTTAACAAACTAAAATCTCTCTTAAACGAGGAAAACGAACGGCTTCGAAAGCGCGCTAAAACTAAAACTAAGAAGCTCCAACAAAGGTCACTCTTACTCAGAGGAAAAAACATAAAGGGGTAATCATTCCGAGACAAGGCATTGGTATTAACAAATCCTGTGGCTGTGGCGAGGCTTGGGTGATCGCACGGTGGTACACTCAGGCACAAGACAAAGGGAGACGCAGACTATAAGACACATGAGGGTAATGGGAAACAGGTGGACACAATCAGGAATCAGGGGAGACGATTCGACTGGTGACATGAGGAAGGGCAAGTGACCCTGTGACACGTCACCCCCCCTTCTAGGGCCGACTCCTGACGGCCCAGGCTGTTCAGGGTGGTCCCTATGAAAATCCTTTATGAGGTTAGGGTCTACAATGAAACGCGATGGGATCCACTGTCTCGCCTCCGGTCCATATCCTTCCCAGTCCACTAGGTACTGTCTACCCCGGCCCCGAGTGCGTACCGCCAACAACTGCTTGACCTTATACACCGGACCGCCGTCTATAACTTCTGGTTGTGGCGGGGGTGCAGCAGCAGGGACCATCGGGCTCTCTTTCGCAGGCTTGACCTGGCTGACGTGGAAGGTGGGGTGAGCACGAAGGGATCGAGGCAGGCGAAGACGGACCGCCACAGGGCCGATGGTCTTAGTGATGGGGAATGGGCCCACGAACCGTGGAGCCAGCTTCCTTGAAGGCACCTTGAGGTTGAGGTTCTTAGCTGACAACCACACTTTCTGACCTTGCTGGTAGGCAGGGGCGGGTCGTCTCTTGCGGTCTGCAGCCTTCTTTACTCTGTCCCCTTGGCGAATCAGCACCTGCCGGGCGGCTGCCCAGATGCGACGGCAGCGACGAATCATTGCAAGGGCGGAGGGCACAGACACCTCCGGTTCATTGTCTGCAAACACGGGGGGAAGGTAACCAAACACACATTGAAATGGTGGGAAACTAGTGGCTGAGGTAGGCAATGAATTGTGGGCATACTCGGCCCAGACCAGGTTCTTGCTCCATGTTGAGGGATCCTGGGCCACCAGACACCGGAGGCTGGTTTCCAGTTGCTGGTTGAGGCGTTCGGTCTGGCCGTTGGCCTCTGGGTGATACCCCGAGGTCAGGCTGGCCTTCGCTCCGATGAGCCGACAAAAGGCCCTCCAGAACCGGGAAACAAATTGGGGCCCCCGGTCCGAAACTATGTCCTTGGGGAAGCCGTGGATCTTAAAAACATTGTTCATCATTACCTCCGCCGTTTTCTTGGCGGAGGGTAGTTTTGGCAGAGCAATGAATCTAGCCATCTTAGAAAATCTATCCACAACCGTGAGGACAGTGGTGTTACCTTGTGAAACCGGGAGCCCCGTGACAAAGTCTATAGAGATGTCTGACCACGGTCTGGAGGGGATGGGTAGTGGCTGTAAGAGTCCCATGCGTGACGTAGAAGAAGTCTTGTTTCGGGCGCAGACCGAACATGCCTCAACGTACTCCCGGACCTCCGGTTCCATGGCTGGCCACCAGAATCTCCGGGAGATGACGAACATCGTCCTCCGAACTCCCGGATGGCAAGAAAGCAGTGAGGTGTGGGCCCAGTGGATCACCTGTGGGCGTAACTCAACCGGAACGAACAACCGAGTTGCGGGGCACCCACTAGGTGGTGGGGTCTCACCATTAGCCTGCTTTACCTCATTTTCTATCTGCCAAGTCACTGCTCCAACCACACAGGTTAGTGGAAGGATGGCTTCTGGTTCTTTGGCAACAGGCTCGGGGTCGAAGAGTCGAGACAAGGCGTCGGGCTTGACGTTGCGGGACCCCGGCCTGTAGGAAAGGGAAAAGGAAAACCGGTTAAAGAAAAGCGCCCACCTGGCCTGGCGAGAATTCAGTCTTTTGGCTTTTTTAATGTATTCAAGGTTCTTGTGATCAGTCCAGACAATGAATGGGTGGTTAGCCCCCTCAAGCCAGTGTCGCCACTCCTCCAGGGCCACCTTGACCGCCAGCAGTTCCCGGTTACCAACATCATAATTGCGTTCTGCTTTGGACAGCCGCTGTGACAGGAAGGCGCAGGGATGCATTTTACCATCCTGCTCCGACCGCTGTGAGAGGACTGCCCCGATCCCTTCGTTGGAGGCGTCCACCTCAACCACAAACTGTCGCCGGGGGTCTGGCATGGTGAGAATGGGGGCCGAGGTGAAAAGACGCTTGAGGTTCTGGAAGGCTGTCTCCGCCTGTGGAGACCATTGGAACTGCACCTTTGAGGAGGTAAGAGCATGGAGAGGGGCAGCTATTGCGCTAAAGCCTCTGATGAACCGTCTGTAAAAGTTAGCAAAGCCGAGGAATTGCTGAACCCTTTTACGGCTATCAGGTGTGGGCCATTCTGCCACAGCGCTAATTTTTGCCGGATCCATCTGCACCCTTCCAGGGGCTACAATGAAGCCCAGGAAGGAGATGGTGTCGGCATGAAACACACTCTTTTCTGCTTTGACG